TATTTTTAAAATTTCATGGTTTTAAAAATCTACTTACTAATAATTTTCAAAATTTTCTCAATTGATCCAAACTTTAAAGACCAGACTCACATATCTAGTTTTGTTTTTGGAATATCCCCTCTGGTATCTAGAAGACATCTAATATTGTCAAATTGCCAAAGGGTAACTACTAATTCTTAGATCCCCCCCTCTCTACTTCTTCAACTTTCCCAGTTTTTTGTTGGTGTCATAGCAATTTATTTGTTTGCTCAAGTGAAAATCCTGGAGTGGGGGTTTCCAGTAAGTATTTATAGAACATCCACATTGTGGTAAGTACAGTTTGTGCATCTGGAGAGAAAATATCTTCTACTTATGTCCCCTGTACCTAGAAGAAGTACAGCATATATTGGATGTTTAATAAATATTTATACAGTATACAAATTAATGATAAAATTTCTGGAATGATAAATGATTCTGTATTCCTAGAGGGAAGGAGGCCTTTGGCAACAATTTTTATCCTACTTTCCTTATCATGTCTTCTTCTTGACAAGATGAAAATTTAAAACAGTATAATTCATTTGAATTTTAATTGATTAAAAAAACCTTAAAATGGCTGATTACTACATACTTGCCAACCAAATATGATACCTTAAATGATGGACTGCAGTGATCTGCTCTTGTTCATTTCACTGGTTTACTGATGATTTGAATAAAAGTATGAATTTCCTATTATAATTTTTAAATAAAAATAGAATAAGCAAATATATTAGTCAAAAGACTATACTTGCAAAAAATCTAGATATTCTTAGAATATGGACTCAAAGTATGATAGATAAAAATTTTAAACCATATTTACAGGGCACTGTAAAACTGATTGCAAAGATAGAAAATGTAAGACATTTGGCTTAGTAAAAATTTACTCTCCAAAAGGCTTAAAAGTGCTAGTTGATAGTTGTCTTAATCTGAATCAACTGTTATAGCTGTCAGAAAAGCTTATGTGACTTAAAATATTTTCAAAATAAGTTCTAAAAATATTTTTCAATCTTCTCTGTATTTCAACTTTATTTTTAAAATTGTATATTGCATGCTATGCTCTATTACAGGCTATGCATCCTGAAATTTGGAATTAGTATGTCTGGAGTGCAGTCCAAGTGTGTGTTTTCATGTGTGTATGATTCTAAGTTCTACTTGGACAATATCTATTGAAGTAAACAACCTACGTACATTCAGTTCCACTAGTTCAAGTTCCAATGATTGATGGTATAGATAAATGTGTGAAGGTGCACAAAAGTCTATGAGTTATAACCAACCTAAATGTCTGTCACACTAGAGAATGTTAAACTCTGCTTAAAGTAGTAAGTCTACTCATTTTCATTTTCCACTTATCTTGGGTATCTTTTCGAGATAAGTGAACAAACAAATTTCAGAATAGATCCAATTTATGTGAAAATAAAATATATCAAATGATATATTTATGCATTTGTAGAAAATTTTCAAAAGTTTCTCATGAAAATTTTAATTGTAGTTACTTCCAAGAATTGACTGGGAGACAAAAAACAAAAAGCACTTTTACATTTTGTTTTATTTCTTTTAGACCTCTTACTTTAATCAGAAATGTATATTTAAAAAAAGGTCCAACCAATTAAAAAATTCCTACATTGATTCTGGAAAAAATTAGGTAAACCCTGGGTTGGCAGGAGCTATTAGGGTGGCATTTAATTCCTATTTGTTAAGTATGATTAAATTCACCTAGGTTTCAATGAATTGAATCATCCTGATTCTTTGTGTGTGTGTGTGTGTGTGTGTGTGTGTCTAGAGGACTAACTTCTATGATTTGCCCAGTTACAGGTAGTGTATTTTGAAAAATAATTGTCACTTAGAGCATGTCTGAAATAGTGACACAACTTGAAATGATGTTATATGAAGATCTCATAAAAACAACTGAGAATTTTTAGCCAGGAAAAGATAATACTTAGAAAACCATGGTTATACTGTTATCCAATCCTTAAAGGGCTATGATGTGAAAGACTTATTCTAAAGGGCCCTGAGGAACAAAACGCTCACCTATGAGCCAAATCTAAGGTTAAAAATTTTATTAGAATACAGAGCCAAGTTTTTTATAGAACTGAACTGAAAAAAATGGGAT